TCTCTCTCTCTCTCTCTCTCTCTCTCTCTCTCTCTCTCTCTCTCTCGATATAGAAAGAAACCAATGTTCATCACAATGCTGTAAAATATAAATCTATGTTATAATTCAGTCTGTCATCTGCCCAACTTTATCCAAGTAGTCTGTATTTAATTTGGCACACTGTAAATGCTCATGTACAAATACATCTTTTAAAAAGACATTCTAAAATAGGTCCTTTTAAGGAAGAGCTGGTATATGTTTGATAAAGTAAAATGAGGGCCTTGCCATAAAATTATATTAAAATACCTTCACTTTGAAGTGAAAAGTTTTGGTATTAGTTACACACTACATTTATTTATTTATTGAAATCAGAACCCTGCGCTTGCCAGGCAAGTGCTTATTCTACTAAGCTATCTACCTGGGCCTACACACTACATTTAAATGCTGACTTAAATTTAGCTCTCTAAAGAACTGGTTGGATCCAAATTGCCACTGGTCTTTTCAGTTTTCCAATGGGCAGTTTCCTGGTACAAGATAGACTTTGAGTGCTGTGTTTGTCATCCTGTGCTGTGTAACAAATCATCCTGAAAAGGTCGGATAAACATACTGTGTCAGTGGATTAGGGATCCATCCGGGGCCTCTGGTCCTGGGTTTCTCACAAGGCTGCAACACCCTTGTTTGCTGAGCCTGCCACCATTTTAAGGCTCACTGGAGGTCCAAGAGCTCCTGTAGCCATTCGTGTGGCAGGGACTCAAACCCAGGGCCTTGTGCACACCAAGTGAGTGCCCTACCATGAGCTACATCCCCAGACAGATATTTATTTTAGTGTCAAAAGGTCAAGTATTATAAAATCCACCAATATTATCCATCATATTAACAGAGCTAAGGTACAAATAGTATGATCTATTATGGGTTAAATTATGTTCCCCGCAAAAAAGATGTAATGAAGTCCTAAAATCTCCACAATAGCACCCTATTTGGAAGCAGGGTTATTGCAGGAGTGATTAGTTAAGACGAGTGGAGCATGGTGGACCCGTCGCACATCATGACTCATGCTCAGTGCTGAGACTGCTGGGTGAGCAGAAGAGGCGGATTGCGTAGGTGGTGCGCTGCTGAAGACAGAGCCCAGACTGCCGCAGCTGCCAGTCAAATGCTACCCAAACCCTCCACAACCACGAGGAGCAAGGAGTGAGCTCAGGAGGGTTCCCCTGCAAGGTGCAGAGAGAGCCTGGCCCTTGGTTTTGGATTTTGAGCTGACAGAACAATGAGATGCCAAATTTCTACTGTATGAAGGCATCGGCTGTGTTGGATGCTCTGTGACTCAAGAGCAGTGCTAGGAAATGATGTGTGATCTTTTTGATAGATGGAGAAAAGCCACTTGACAGAATTCTC